GAGGTGTTTTTATTAATACCACAGACAGATTTACCCTTCTTATTAGTCCAAAGTGGTGCTAGGCAGGTTGAAATCCTGGGGGAGTCTGCATGAGTCTGAGACCAAAAAAAGCAGCGTCAAAACCCACAGCCTAAAGGTCAAAAGTACTAATTTAAGTATCAGACAGGCCTGGGTTGAGTCATAGCTCAACCTGCCATGAATAGCCTTGGACAATTAACCACTTATTCACCCAGGCAATTAAGCATAATAATATCATCTACTGTATAAGACAATTCTGAGGCTTCAATGAGGAAACATTTCTCACACTTAGCATGAGGCTTACTCAGCACAGAGATCCACAGAACAGTGTTAGCAGTTTAGTACACATTTCATTTTCTTTTTTAGACCTTACAGCGGATGATGGTTCTGACAATTATAGCAGAGGACCCAATTCCCTGACCAGTGCCACTCCTTTCCTTTTCTTTGAACTTAGAAGCGAGGGAGCCATGGGAAAAAAGCACCACCTGGTGCCTGGAGACCATTCCCATGTGCCTCTGGGTGCTCACACAAGACTGCCTGTGTAAGCTTAGGGGCTTTTCTTCTTTTTAAGACCTTCCATCCAAGTTCAAAGACTTATCCATCCAAAGAATATGAGCTATACTCACAATTTCTGATGTCTTGTTTGCTGTAAAGCTTTTTTGCCTTACTGAAATCTTCACAACCTTGGTCATTGCTCAGATCTTAAAAGAATTGTAAGGGGAAGTCAAGCTTCATTCTTCAGTAAAATGCAGCAGAACTACGAGGAGTAGTCCCACTGGGCAATACAAAGAGGAAAAGTAGAGAGAAATACATCTATCTTTAGATCATTAGGCTTACAAAGTCAATAAAGATTCTTTGATTTGAGTAAGACTGTGTCCTAATGAGACATTTTTAAAGTCAGCTAATTCAGCCACATTTTGATCTGCATACACCTCCTCTAGCCATGAGTTTCTAAAATTGCATTTGAATCTAATATTGTATTGCCTCAAATCCAAGATGCATTTTTTAATTTTTTCTGGTAATTAAGTATTTTATGATTACTGTGGAAAGTTATGTTGTTCTTTTTGCTTAAAAAGTTATGGTTCTTTTTCCTTAAAAACTGATCTCCACAGTATCTTGTAACTGATACAAGAGTTTTTCACTCATAGGAATAAAGAATTAGAAAATTATACCATATTGCGATGATGTTACCTGGAGTAATTATTCTTTGTGATAATTCAGTGATTGGCAAAAGGAAAGATTTGAATACAGAAGAAAAGATAATCCAAAGTTTTCATTAAGTTTGATAATACATGTGCACAGTGCATATGAGAACCATCAATCTAGTTAACATTTGAACATCTTTATGTCTCAATATTATTATTATTATTATTATTTTGAGACAGGAGCCTTAAGCTGTTCCTCTGGGTAGAGTGCTGTGGCACCACAGCTCACAGCAACCTCCAACTCCTGGGCTCAAGTGAGTCTCCTGCCTCAGCCTCCCAAGTAGCTGGGACCACAGGCGCCTGCCACAACACCCAGCTATTTTTTGGGTGCAGCCATCATTGTTGTTTGGCAGGCCCAGGCTGGATTCGAACCCGCCACCTTGGGTGTACGTGGCTGGTGCCTTAGCCACTTGAGCCACAGGCACTGAGCCTCAATATTACTTTAAAAGTCCATCAGATATGACAGGAAACATTATATTTGTAATAGCAAGAGGCCTAAGGAAGAGGAAGAAACTCCCCTTCCCCACCAGCTCCCAGAAAGCCCTTTCTTCACTTCCCCTTTCTTTTGAGGGTCCCTGTGCAGGCAGCCATACCTATCACTGTCAGTCTGCAGGACTGGACTTTCCTGGACTTTCCATATAACATTTAAAAGCTGATATGTACAGTACAGTGCTGGGCACACCGTAGTTATTCAATAAATACCTTCTTTCTGGTTCACTGATGTGAAATATTAAACTGTGTTCTGTTTATGCATATACATAGCTTTTAACAGTTGGGGAAACCCAAATTTCTAAAAAAGTTCCCCTTTCCCTTTTATCTTACTAAAAAACATTTGAGTTAATTTTAGGAATAACTTTTACATAAATAAAAAACCACCAACAAATCAAACCCTAAAAGTTCTTTTTCTCTACAACAATTATAAAGGCTCCTTTAGTCTTTTGATCACAACATAAAAATTACTACAGCTATAGGTGTAATGTCACCTTTGGAGAACACTTGGATCACAGATGGCAAACTCAGTGGTTAATTTAATATAGTGAAGTGTGATGTTAAAAGCTGAGGATGTGGAACACTCCATAGACCAATTCAGAAATGACTAAAACCACCGACAATGATTACTTTTACACTTCCTATCAGCTATGTGGCAAGTTGGTTTGCAAATACTTCACTCAGTTAAACTGAAAAATAATTGTCCATATAGAACTGGGAAGAAAAAAGCTGGAAAAAAAAAAAGAAGGAAGATAAAAGGATGGAAGGAAGAAGGGCATTTATCTGAAAATATTTAAACCAAATTAAAAAAAATTGTGATCTTTAAAAGCTTACATTTAAAAAAAGAAGCCTTCTGACCGCAAATACTACAATAGGCACTGAATCATACTACTAAATCAATTTTCTTATTTGCTGCATAATTCCATGAAAGCTATCTGAAGAGAAAACCCCAGGGCTTGAAAACAAGAGCAATAAGGTCATTTGTTTTTACACATTTTTTTTTAACCTACTTACAGGAGAAATTAGGTAAACTATATGCTTGATTTTTCAAAACTAAAACAATAGAAAAGCCTTCCTATTTTTTCCTTTGACAAAGCTGAGAAGCATAATGAGAATATTCTTTTTCATTCTTATCATGCTGTTTGGCCCCATAGCATCAGGAACTATAATGGCTTATTTTAGGTTTAACTGAAGAAAGAGAAATGCCTACAAAATTTCCACAGCAACAAAAGAAATCGTCACTGAAGTATAGAGGATTTACCACCAGGCTGCAAATAAAGAGAGTGTCAAAAAAATGTATATATATTTTAAGGAAGACAAAAAACTGTATTAAAGTTATAATACTCAAATCACGTTTGATTTCTGCAATTTAAAAGAAATATAAGACATAACATACAAGATAACAAATGTTATCAGTATAAATCGAGAATTACAATTATAAATTATAATAATTTTTTTCTTTCTTAAAATGTATATACCTATTTTTAGCACCCTCTGTGTATGACTGTCCTGTATATGTGATGTTTTAAAAGTCTACAAATGTTTTTCGAGTTACAAAAATGTAGGACACATTCTAGCTTATTTTCTGGTATTTGGCATTTACTCTTATGTGGAAGTCTTGTATTTGGACTTTTTCAAGAACCATGGTTCTTTATGGTTCTTGAAAATAAAAGGCAAAGGGGATGTGCCTGTAGCTCAAGGAGCAGGGTGCCAGCCCCATATACCAGAGGTGGCAGGTTCAAACCTGGCCCCGGCCAAAACAAAACAAAAGAATAAAAGGCAAAGGAGACTGCTCACTTCTAGCCTCCAAATGTCTTACCTGGCTATGCTTATGATTTATAAGATCAGATAAATGTTATTTTCAAGTCAGCTCTTAAGTACATGATTATGAAAGAGAGAAAGAAAAGCCATAACTGAAACTGTTAGCAAAGGAAGGCCTCGCTTGAAATTCACATCAACTTTCCATTCTGCAAAGCAATCCATCCACATGAAAATAGTCAAAAAGGACTTCATTTAATTAGTGATATTTGTAAAGAGTCTTGCATAGAAAAAGGTTACAAAGTAATGTAAAAAGGACTAGGTACAGTAATTTTAAAACAAATATTTAAAAGTATAATTTTGCATAATGTTTAACATTCTCATAATGTTTATTGCTTTCTCCACACAGCAGAGAAATGAAGTGCATAATACATGCTGTGTCTTTTATCTTTCAAACATAAAATCTTATGTGCTTGATTTCAATGTATTAAGAGATTATTTTGTCAAAAAAAAAAAAACCACAACACCATATGTAGCACTAATCTAGGCATGGACCAAAATAATTTATGTACAGCCCACTGCATACATTCATCTTGCTTTGGGATCAAATGCAACCATCACCTTGACAAAGAACCTTTACAAATCGTGGCTTTTCTCTTCCCAATGCTCTCTCCTGTCTTGTCACCTGCAGAAATGCAATTTCCCCCCAAAGGTGACAAGAATAGATGCTGAATGTTATCAGGGGAAAATGAAAAGGATAAATATACAAAAGTAGTCCAAATGAAAGTGAATAAATTAACCAAAACTCATATGAAACAGAGAGTTTTCAAGTTGGCATGGATCAAATAGCCTCTGGTGGGCACACGGTAGGCAACAGCTCTTAGGTGCACTATATAAATGTAAGCTTTCAATAAAGAAGCACCATATTCTGATACATCCCAAGAAAAAGTGCCTGGGGGCTTGCAGGCAGTGCAGAAATGCTTGTTAATCTGAGCACTGACGGAATAATTGCTTATACCAATGCATTGCTAAATGTCACCACTTGGCAAGTCTGTACAAAGGAAGCAAACTAAGATAAAGGTACCTCTTTCAACTTGGAAATTATTTTTCAGCAATCCTTTTGACCAATAAAACCTGTTGCTTTCAACCCAGTACTTTTCTCTGGCATTGTATGAAAATGTCTGCAGCCTATAGCAAGACTTCTATACTTTGCCTTCCTCAACCTCCCTTCGGCCATAGTCTTGTGCAATTGTTACATGTTCAGAAGAAATCTTCCCTAGCTCAGGCACTTATGAACCACGAGTTTCCCCCCTGTCTGGTTTTAAGAGACTTCAGTCAGGGCATTTTCCTTCCCCCATCCAGGCATACTGATGTACTGCTGGACGGTACAGTCCACATAGATTTTCCAGGAAACTTCTAAATGGACAAGTGTTCAAAAGCTGCTGATGTCAGTTACCAAGCTGCCTTAAACAAACAAACAAAAAACAAAACAAAACAAGAAAAGATAATACCACATTTCCACTCATGAGGTTTGTGTCTCAAATAGCTTTATTGTCCTGTGCGGATCTGTAGGCCTCGGCATGGCTACCTTCAGGGTGCAGAGGTTGTAAGCTGACTCTGAAATGAAGGACATTCAGTTGCTATTGCAAGAAGTTCAAGGAGAGTTTAAAAAGCTCCAACTTCTGTCCCCCAAGGTCGGTAAGGTTTACTGTTTGTTCCACTGCTCGGCTGCTGAGGACTGGACGTGGCTGATACCGACAGGGGTGGGCTGATGGCCGTTGCGGCTGCCACTGCCGCAGCTGCGTTCGGGGGGAGCATGGGGAAAGCCCCCGCGAAGGACAGAGGGAAGCTGTGTGCGGCTGCGGTGGCGGCTGCGGCTGCGGCATGCACGGTGGCAGAGAGGGACAAGAGAGAGGTGGAAAGAGGTGGCACACAAGGGGCAACACTGCCCGTGGCTGGCATTCGGAGGGCAGAATCTGCGTGGGCAAACGTGGCCGTGAGGAGCGCAGAGCCGTGGGCAGGAGGCACTTCTGAAGTTGTGGAGAGGCGACAAGGGGTCGACTCCGAGGTGTGGAGTCCACTGGGTTGGAGCAAGGCTGCGGGCAGATGGTGGAAGGCGGCCGCCCAGTGATGCGGATGGAGGGGATGGTGGTGGTGGGCCATGGAGGACGTCATAGCCGCCGCCTCGCGCTGGGAGGCACAAGTGCTGAGATGAGAGACGAGTCGCACCCGCAGTGGATCCGCGGAGTCCAGGCCCTCCACGGAGCTCAGGTACCTTGCCACTTCCGTTAGGCACTCTCGGAACCCGATGCTCATGAAGTCCATGGCCAGAGCGTGTGCATCAAAGTAGCCTAGAAGGGGGGCGTAGAGCAATGTGGGGGAAAGGAGAGATTGAGAGGCAGAAATGGGGTGTCGGGGGAATGACAGAATTGGGGAGAATAAAACACTCGCTGATGTCCCGCTCTCTCCTGCCGAAGATTGAAGCCGATAATCCTTTCTGAAAATATTGCCTGTTGGTTTTAATTTTTTGTTGAAGTTATTAATAAAGTGTACTTTGTGACTCACATGTGTGACAACTCTGGCAGTGCAATATGCTACAGTCGTTCTTGCGATGCAAATCACAGTGGAGGAAAAATTAAGAACATCCGAGTTTCAAACACTTCCAGAGAAAAAAATGGTGTCTCTCCTTTTGTGTTGTGGGATAGTGAAATTCCCCAGGAAACGTTTTCATGGAAATAAAGAGCTCCCGTCTCTCTGTCTCTGTCACAGGAGTTGGAGATTAAAGGGCTTATCTGAAACATCCTTACGCTCTTGGCATTTTAACAGACCAGCCAAGTGCATCTTAGCAGCTTGAGAACTTTCCTTAGAAATGTGCTAGACTCTCAATAAATGCACAAATGCTTCTTGACTCACAATGTTTTTTTATCAACAAAGTGAAAACATCTTGTCATACCCTGGATGAAAAGGTTTAATGAAAACAAGATGATTTTTTATTTAATTTTGGTTACTAATTTGAAGATCTTGTTTTTTTTGGTAAGGAATATAAGGCTGCTTTACAGATGTGAATTTACTACACTGTAATTCCTAGTTTTTCTAAAGTTCAAGTATAGATGTCCTTCATTGGTAAGCTTACTTTGTTTCTGGTACCCACCCAGGAAAAAATGTGTATTAATTGTGTAGTGTGTATGTACACACCCCCACATCTCTGGTTACTACCATAAAAATGGCTAAATCTTGGTCAGATTTATTACTAACAGATTCTCTTTCCATCCAAAGATAATATATTAGGACAGAAAATAGTAACATCTGACTATTAGAGTGCCAATTTAGAGCACAATGATAATCAGACATTTGGGGAAATGTCACCCACTTTGAATGAGTGAACTCTGGTATATACAAACATACTCTTTGCAGATTCTTTTTTATTTGCAACATTTTCGAAAGTAATTTTCAAATTAAAAGTTTAGCCTGTTTACTTTTGGTAAGTCTGTATACATGAATAAGAAATGTCACATTCAAGTAAGGTTATTTCCATCATTTACTATATTATCTTTTTAATGTTTTTGCCAACCAAAATATTACCTGTTTCATTTATCATCTATTAAAAATTAGGCTATCTTATTCTATAATCAAAGCACTTTGAAAAGTAGTAGTTACATACATTCAAAGTCCTAAAACTAGAATTCTAGTAGAAATTTGAAAGTTTAAAATGGTATCTGTGTATATATTATATAGAAACTCTATTAAGATGGAAACGAAGCAGAATAAAGCTGGTATAAGATAATATTTTAAAAGGTGGAAGGGACAAAGTAGTCAACTTCCTAGTACTTTGGCACAGTTAGCAAACAAAGCCCCTTGGATTAGGAGGAAAAGCTACTCCTAAAGAAGAGGCCTCTGTGCAAAGATTGCATACTTCAGTGCTCAGGGTTCTCTGTAGGGCTTTGGGGCTTTTGACTTCCATGAGAGGCAGAAAGAGGTAATGATTAGAGTACACAGAGTCCAGAAATCCAGAGGGACTTAGAACTTTAGGTTAATAAATCTTCTCTAGAAACTATTAAGACTGACTGCAAAGAATAAGTCAACAGAATTTACATTAGTGGCCACGGAGTTAAGTAAAATTTGTAGTTTGCCAGTTAGGCTGTGAGTCCTCCATTGCATCTTAAGGAATATATATTATGTAATTCCTACCCTATTGTTAAATGCAGAGAGATGGTGTTGAATACCTGTCTCTTATGGATGGACCTTGGGCCAACAATAGCACATGTGTCCATACCACTTCCTCTGTGCTAGAACTATTCTATGGGCTTTAAGTGAATTAACTCATAACAATCTTGTGAGGTGGACGCTATCATTATACTAATTTTACAGCTGACATAACTGGGGCTCAGAGAGGCTTAGTAATTTATCCAAGGTCACACAGCTAATAACTGGCAGAGTCAGGAATTGAAATCAGGTAACACAGACTATGCCCTTCACCACTACACTTTGAGGCAGTTGGAAGTCTGCTAGAGTTAGTCCAAATTTCCAGCTCCCTTCTTAAAGGCCACACATTCTGTGCAATGACCTCTTTAATGACCTGGCAGTCAGGCGACTTGTATGGAGCCTGCTTGGAAGTGTCTGTCCACAAACTATTCTGGGACGAATTTTAGGGCTGTTCAGGTAGCCAAGAATAGCAACTGAAATGGAACTCAGTTTTCAGAGTAAAGCCTAAGAACAATATTCCTCTTTAGAAGTACAGCTCATGCCAAATATTTGAAACCCTGATAAGAATACTTAGCCTTGTGGCTAACAATGCCAAGGGAGGTAGAGTAATTTTTCTTGCACCACAGCTAACTCAAAGAGAATCCTAACATCCTGAGATAGCAGTTGTAGAGACAGAATCCGGGGCTGGAGAGTCTCTGGAGTGCATTCTGCTAGTGTAGGCCTCAAGGTAAAGCAGTATACTTCTGTTTTAAGGCAAAGTCAAGTCATTGCCAAACTGGGCTGGATCACTGTCTTCTATGATTTAATCCAAGTCTCTTCTATTACTTAGAATGTTTATATCTTAAACCACTCTTTACTCATTCAGGACAGTTTCTTAAGAAGGCACAACCTGGGATAAGTCACACAATGTCAGCTTCTTTGTACAATGGTCCCCCCCCCCCGCCCCACCACACACACACACTTATCATCTGATACCAGTAAAAGATGGTTAACATCAGGGCTGATGTTCTACAGGTCCTATGCAATATGGACATGTAGGAGTTAAAAACTGAAATATTTCCAAACTAACTGGGAAATGACTACTTCCCTCCAATGCCTTGCCTCTGCCCTGATCTAGGACTTATGTACTATGTAGTAATAGGTTAATGCTAAGCACAGAGAGACCTCCAAGATTTAGTAGCAGCACCTAACTCCTTGTGATACCCTCTCCTTATTCAGTTGTTAAATATATTGAATAACACTCTTGACTAAGATGAATATCAAAGGCTTCTATGAAGGGTGATTATGACACCAAAAGATAAAATCAAGTATGAATGATGTATGCACAAGTGGGACATTGAAATTTGAAGGAATATTAGAGTTTTTAGGATCTCAAGTCTGTTTTTGGCATGAGATGAAAGTCTCTCTCTCAACCCCTTGATACAACTCCTCCTAAGTCAATGTCCAGTATGGAGGATATTTCTTTAGGCCCAGAGTGCCTGCTCCTATCTGCTCTCCCTAGGACCTACTCTGCTCCATTAATGGTATCCAATACAGAGGTTTACTCTGTGAACTTCAAATGTTCTTTTTACTCTAAATCCAAGAGGAACTTGTTCCTGAAAACAACAATGAAAATAATGCTAAAGTTGCTTCCTTTGGAATAGCTAAATTATTTTGAGTCCCTAGCCTTGATTTGATAATGTAGAAGGAAGAGGAGGAGGAAAAGGAAGAAGTGAAGGGAGAGAAAAAGAGAAAGAGAAAGAAAGAAAAACAGGAAGAGAAAAGGATCGCCTTTAACCCCCTGTTTATGTTTGGATGTTTGTGTGTTTGTTTTTTCTTTCTGTACAGATTCCAGCATGTGCTTCTTAAATCCCAAACAAATCTCTGACCAGTCTGCTGTGAATGAAGCCTTACTCCCACAGTATTATGAAAGCAAACACAAGCCCAGGGTCAAGTGCTTCTTTTGTTCCAGAAGTTCTTTCCCACGAGTTCAATCCCGCCATTAGCATTGATTTCCACAGCTTTAATCTGGGACCGCCTATCTCAGCTTGTTAAAGAACTGTTCAACTATGACTTCCTTACAACGTTGGGGGGGGGGGAATGAAAAGAGAAAGGTAGAAAGGGGGAGAAGATGAAGTCACCTACTTACCTTTGCCTCCCGTTGCCTGAAGCATCTTCAAATGATCCACTGTCATTTGCAATATTTCAGCTTTTTCTAACTTTGCAGATCCCTTCATAAACAAAATACATAGTCTCATTAGTCCTATGAAAACTAATTTGGAACATTATACATTGACTTTAACATTACTATTTCAATTTTTCCTCTCAGTAGAAAATTCCAACTTTAATTTTGTGACAGAAAGCTATGCATTCTTTTCAAACTTTACATGACAGCACTATGATGTAGTACGAATGACACGTTTGCCATTTAAAATTTTAAAAGCTAAAAAGAAGGCAAAATAAATAATTTATTATCAGAATAATTAAACTCCTAAGATAACGCCACAAAAACCATTTCAAATGCAAAAATCTCTAACTTTGCATTAAACTTCTAATCTGATTAATAATATATTTTAGTATGACATGCATATTCAATAGTCTTATGTAATGCTGAAGTCTAGATGAACTGAATAGTTGTATAACTCTGGAAGATTAGGAGATAGGATTTTAGCAAATTATTGTGAAAAGAAGATTTTTCAAAAATAGAAAATCTGAATAAGACCTTAGGGGTATTTCATACTAGACCACAGGTAAGCAGGTCCAAAAATAAGAAAGGGAAGACTTTTAAGAATGTTTTTCCTCCAATAACTACCAGCAGGTGTCACTGTGAAGTCCAAGATCATAAACAAGAAGAAATAATTTACTATTTATCTGGGAAGCATGATAAACACTTAAGGATTTTTGAAACTTTTAAAATAGTTCTCAGTGAAAATATCTTGAAAAAAATTTTTACGTTCCTCCTTTACCCTTTTAAAATAAGGCAACCTCTAGAAACCAACCAAAATACAAACAAACCATCTCTATCTGTCTCAGGGGGCTGTGGTGGTTTCTAATTTCCTGAAAGAGAAATATAATAAGTATACCAATTTTTTTTTTTGGAAAAAAGATACTAAAGATTATTTCAGGTTCCTATACTTTACTTGTTTTGTGAAAATTATCAGCACTCGGGACACAGTGAGAGTGCCAGAGTTATTTACTCTCCTGAATACTCTTCTAATCATATTGTGACAGAGCCAGCTCACTATGGTTGGTAGCTAAGCTCTGCGAAAGGGAAAGTTCATGTTTATGGTAACTAACTACCAAACAACTGAGGTTTGCATTTAAGGTTCATTTTAAGTCAACATTTAAGAAAACAAAAAAAATCTAACAAATCAAGAAAAAAAAAATCACCGAACTGCTCCTTACAACCGTAGACATGTCAATACTCTAAACTTAAAAACCATCATTGATTGCTGGCATTTTCATTTGCAGCCTATGGTCACTGAAAATGCTACTAATCCAAACTACAGTTTCCACATTACATTTAGCTTATTAAAGACAGTATCAGCATATAGACTGGGTGTCTTTTTTTGACTTAAAAATGTACAGTCAATACTATATTAACCTTGTACTTCTGTCACTATTCAACCTTTATGTAAGCAGTTTCAGTGAATGTGACGAATAATTGAAACTAGAGTTTCTGGATAATTTCCAAGGGCTTTGGAGGGCTTGTTTTATAATGTTTATGTATTCATGAAGTAAACAACAAAATGGAATAAACAAACAACTGCTGCCTTATATACTATTTGAATTAAACTGAAAGTATTTTCAACAAGGACACGCTGTCATATCCTTTGAAGGAGCTCTTAGAAATCTGTGCCATTAGCCATCGCGGTAGGAAGAGAAACAACTTTTCTAAAACAACAAAGGAAGATTTAAACATTTGGCTTTCTATTTTTCTAAGTGTACAAAATCTTTTTTTTTTTTGTAAAGGCATATTCAAACTATGAAAAGGAACATTTATGACTAATTTGATTTTTACCAACTTTCCAAAAAGATGTCCCAAATCAAACATCATTCGATTAGCCCAGGGATTAAAAATGAAAGCAAGTGGTTTGGTAAATAAATTTTATTAGTAGCATTATTTAGGAAGTAGAGCTAGAGATGTTACTTCCTGAGCTTTGGTTATTTCCCATAAAAAAGATTACTTTTTTTTTTTAACAGTTTGAGAAAAAATATTTCACATATGATTTTTTTTTTTAATACTACATGTAGCATAGTTTTAAACAAAACCACTACTGGTATTCATAGAAAGAAAAGAGAAAGGATTAACATTGTTACCCTTAAGGGGAAAATAAGCTAAAGAATGGAAATGTTTTTCAACTTCATGATGGATTATGTTTTTAATAGTTTTGCCACAAGAAAGCATTTTATTGAAATAGCTGCTCTGTGCTAGATCAGGGCACATACACCATTATTTTAATGAGCCTTAACAAGAACCCACATTCCCAGATGAGGGAATCAGATTGTTTCAGCTTTTTTTTGGTGGGGGGATCTGGATAGGAGAAACTTACTTGTTTTTCAAAAGCCGTTGGCACCAGTCGTCTCAATTCAGATAAACTGTTATTTATCCGATCCCGACGCCTTTTCTCTATAATCTATCCCAAAGAAAGCAAAATAACCAAAGAGTATGAATACACAAATGATAAAATTACTTCAGTGGAAAAATACAACTGTTCCACATTAGGCTGGATTACATGAAATGAAGAGAAAAAAAATCACATACCCCTCTCCTTTTCTTTCTGGCCATAATCTGAGATGTTGTTGTTGGAGAATTCGATCTAATCACAGAGCTAGTACTTTGCCTATGAAATAGGAAGAGCAGGTCAGGTGCTGCGTTAACATAACAATCCTTTCTTAGAGATACTTAGTGGCACCCATTAAATATCCAGAGGATTCCACAGTTCAAGTCTGTGTTACTTTATTCTTAGTTCTTGCTTCACTCTTAACAGACTTTCCTTTCAGCCTTTCTGCCTCTTTTCAGGTAGGAATTATGTGTTATTTAAGAAAAGGATTTTTACTGGGACTCCAGATGCTAAATCCATTGGTGAAATGTCATCGAACTTTTACTTTAGTTTCCCAGTGAAAGAATCACTAGGGTGAGAAGTTAGATATTCATATTTCCTAGTTTCACTCATATATATTTTAAAGTCCATCTCCTCTAACAGCATCCCTTTTCTTCCTTCTTATCAGGCATACTGAACAAATTAGTATCACTTTTTAAAATTAAATAAGTGTTAAGCACTACTGTCAAACAGATATACAATCATTATACCTCCAACTGTTGTCCCTGGGTGCAATTGTTAAAATAAACAGAAGTTATCTTATTATTTCAAAATTTCAGTTAGTCATTATCTTACTACAGAAAAAATTGACAGATCTGATGTTGTATATACCAACATTCCAAAAAGTATGTTCTAAGTTAAATATACCACTGAGAAGGAAATTAAAATTAGGCTTACTATTAGGTAAAGGTTTTATTTGAAAATGAAAACTGTAGGTGTCTCTCAGCCTTCAATCTCAGCTTAAACCTCTAGCAACTGCAATCTACTTTGAGTTTACTAATGAAAAAAATTTTTATATCAAAAGTTCAATCAAAGAATTATTTGATTCCCAAATTTTTATAATACTTTCTAGTTTGTATCTGTTTCTTTTCACAATTCGTGGATACTATACTTCTTTATGTTCTCAAATTTTCCAAATTCTTGTTATTTGTTCTTATTCACTTTAGAAGTGTTGCACACATCAGGTTATTACCTCACCTTCTCACTTCTGTATCTTATTTCTGATTTAACTGTCCCCCTCATTTTCACTTTTTCTCTGCTGGTTTCACCTTTCACATGACATCTTCCGTTTTTTTTTTTTCAGACCTCACTTCTTAAGATGACACACACTTTAATAATGATATATTTGAAACGTTGCAAACGTTTCACCTTAATGACTTTGCTCTTGGTGTCATCAGGCCTTGGCTTCTACGTGTTAGAATAACAATATGAAAGAAAAACTGTTTTCCAAAGGCAGGGAAAAATTCCCCGTTTGAGAGACAGCTGCAGTTAAATAATTAAGGTGCTTCTGGGGACAACAATTAGAAGCAATTATCATTTGACCCTCCTTGGCTCTAAAATGTCTCAGTAATCTCCCTCTGTCACAGGAAAGTGGAGGTCTGGCTTCTGTGATCACGACGCCAATCTTTTCCAGACTTGAGAACAAGCAGTCAAAGAAACGATGCCCTATCCGATCTTTACATCAGTCACTCTCTGCTAGAGCGTCTGCCCAATCACACACTATCATCCTGCAAATCTCATCCTACTTAGCCTTGACATCGCAGATCGGTTTAATTTCTCCAAAAAAGCAAATCGTGATTTTAGCTTCTCTAAAAATTAAAAATCAAATTGTTCGTATGTTAAGAGTATCCCAAATACAGTTTCAGTGGCGGGGGCGTCGCCGGCCACCCGGACGTGCCTGCCCTTGCGCCCGGTGCTGACAGCCAACTCCTGAACTCTTCCTTTCAGACGCGTCTCCCATCATCGCCGCCCCACCCCTACAGTGAAAAGCGACATCCCTCGCCCCACCCCGACCTACGCTCTGCGAGCGCCCACCACTCAAAGTTTTTCGGTCAAAACTTCCCTCTCATCTTCCTGCTGGGAAGAGAAGCCTCAGGACTTCCAAAGAGCAGCTCGTGCACAAAACTCTCCTACACCCTCGGGCTCCCACCAGCTCCCTCCAAGCCCGCGCTCACCCTGAGTAATTGTTTTCGCTCCCCACGTCGATGGTCTCGTCCATGTCGCTCTCGGAGGTCGTCTCCTCGCAAGGGCGCTTCATCGCGGCGAAACCAAGGACCCGGAGTGGGGCACAGCACCCTCCCCGCCGGCCCCTTCCTTCCCTCCCCGGGCTTCGGAGGCGCGGCTCCCCCGGCGGCAAGCTCGGCTCCTGGAGGCTCTTTCCCACGCCGCTACCCTGCTCGCCGCAAGAGCCGGCGCCGGCCACGCCCCCCGGCTCGGGCGGGGCCTCCTCCCCCCCCCAAGCGCCCAGGCCCGGGCCTCCCCCAGGTCACCGCCTCCTCGGTGGTCGGCGTGGCTCGCGATTGGCTGGGGCGAGGGGGCGGGGCCGAGCTCTCCAATGCCCGCCTCGAGGTTCGAGCGGAGGCGTGGGAACGCGGCCACGGACCTGCGACCGGGAGCTGGCGCGGGCGGGCGGGAGAGACCGCGGCGAGCGTGAGCGCGGGCTGGCTAACTCCTATTCTGGAAGCGCGGGGACGCGGCGGGGCGGGCGGGCGAGGGGCGGGCTCCGAGCCTCGGCTTTCCGCCCTCCTCCGCGCGCCGCCGTCTCACCCCTGAAGTTTCAGTCCTGTGTTTAAAGAATAACCCCAAGCGCGTGGCTAAGTGTGCGCGAGCGCGTGTGACGTCGGGAGGCGCCGTGGCTTATCCGAAACGCCCCACTTGGCTGCCCCTTGTCTGGACCAAAACTGCTGACTGGCTGACCCGAGCGGTCATATTTGTTTTCTGGGGCTTTTGAAAACCTTAAATCAAAGTTGCTTTTCTCTCTGACAATTCCCAAGGCTACCTCCGCGGCCTCTGGGCTATGGACAGATAAAGACGGGAGTTTCCCGGACCAGGTACTTAACCGCTGGCGGTCGGAGGGTCTGAGAGGTCCGCCACGAAACGATTTCCAATTTGTATACATCAATTATTTCCATTTGGTCTTCGGCCACAGGCACTGTGGATAGTAGATCCCGCTGAGTACACATGGGGCTGGAGATGTGTCTACTATGAGGGCAGGAAGGACTAGAGCAATGATGCGGGTATTTCAGTACACAATTTTAGTAGGTTTTCAAGTTTGAGTGTTTGGAGCTTGGAATATGCAGATAATTGCTTGAGTTCTCCCTCCAGTCCCAGTGGCGTGTTGCAGTCGCAGCTCTAGAGTTAATTAGAATCCAGGGCGTGAAGATTTCGCGCTCGGAAATTGAATTTGTTTTCCAAAGTACTATTTCGTGTCCAACAGTTCTTGGAGCAATGGAAAACTTGGGTTATATGAAACTCTAGCTGTATTTTCAAATTCAAACATGTTTTCAAGCCGCGTTTTCTCTCCACATTCTGTGGGACTTTTGAACTGGCTACGACACTGTGCCTCTGCGAGGCCAGTAATTGAAACCCAGCCGGGAAAGCCGAGGTCTGCTCGCCGGCCACCGCGCGGCTGTACCCGGAGACGGCCGGCAGGCTGGTTGGGATCCCGCCTGAAACTCCACACCTCACGGAGACAGCTGCGTGCTTAGTGGAGAAAAACCTCTGAAAAACGGGGCGCCTGTCAACAACCACAACCCTGGGTCACGGATGGGTTCATATCTCTCTGGGGATCTGCTAGGGCGTCCCTTTGACGCCCCTTTCTTTCTGCACATAAGACCCGAGCTGGTTAGGCAGGAGAAGGGGGAAAGGATACGACGTGAAAAGATGGGACCGGGCGGGATTTGGGCTAGGGGAGTATGAGGAGGAGTCGGGCCTGCGCTAAGGACCTGTAGCCAGCAGGTTAAACTCACATTAAGGTACAAAACCCCGTCCCAACTCGCCCCCATTCCTTTTGTGCGGTCCCCACTGCGGTGCCTTCAATAACCGTGTGAACAGAAACCCGAGACGTTTCATCCTGACTTCTGAAACTTAACCCCGGGCAAATCACTTACTCGGCGAAGGCCGAGCAAGGCCTGGTGAGGCTAGATAGGGTTTGGGCAGGACGGCTTGGAGCACGGGGGCGGTGAACCCCAGTTCTGCTGTCAGCTTCAGGGCGGGTGCACAGCCCGCGCGGGGTTCGGAGGCTCTGCTTGGCTGTAGCGCTGGCTATCTGGGCACGCTGAGCCAGGCAGAACTGTCTCCTGCCCCGACACCGTCCTGACTCCGGGTCCCTGCAATCCTGCTGACCGGGATCCCGAAGCGCTCCGGTAGTCCGCCCCACTTCCCAGGCCGGAGCGCCCTTGGTTGTTAGGTCACGGTCACAGGTGAACGCGCCGCGATGGACCAGGTGCGAACTCGACCTTCACAATTATGGTGAGGGTTGCAGGATTTTCTGAAAGTGGATGCCTACAGGTACAATTCAAGTTTGCCACGAGAGCAATTAGCGGGCGCTTCCTAACGCCGGAGGCTAAACCTCGGATCATCCTTGAAAAAAAAGTCCAAGAATTCTTTATCCCTCTACTAGTGTATTTAATTACAATGATTGCTAAAAGATTGCAAAGAGGGAAATGATTTGCTTGCAATAAAGTAGCAAGTGGTTAAAGTTTTTCCATATTTGTCTTTTAAGACTTAACCGCTGTACTATGTTATAAAGAAAAATATAGCAAGGGTATTCAAAAGCACACACGGATTTAATATTGTTTAAAAATAATTTTTAAGCAAAAAGTCCCGTTTTTAAAAGTGTTTAAAACAGTGCATGGTACATAGTAAACTCAGTGTAAGTCTGTTAAGTGACAAACATATATGGCTAAAGAGCTGAGCCTTTTGAACACTATCAAGAGAATATGTTTATTTACTGCAAATAACTTCATAGCAATTAGGGAGCACGAGATTTTTCCTTCAGATCTTTTACATCTCTCAGGTATTCCATTTACCTATCCCCTGGTTAAGCGCCTATCCCCTGAAAGTGCCTTCTTAGGTCGGAAAGAGAAACCCAGGCAGGAAGCTCATTAAAAGCGCCCCAGCAGACTTATAAAAGATTGTGGATTGGAGGTGGGGAGTGGGGTGAGGTGATGTAGGGGTGGCGCAAGCCGAGCTAAAGAAAAGAGTGGGGATGAGAGAACGGAGGGATTTCAAGCCTCATCACCCCTCTGCGACATCCTTTTCAGCGAAAGTTGGTTGCAGGCTTACTGAGAGCGGGGGCAGAGGAAAAAATGTCCGCGGGCAGAGCAAACTGAAGTTCTTTCCTTTCTTTTATTTTTAAAGATTTGTACTGTGAGTCAATTAGACTGAAAGATACCAGTGACTTTCTTAGAAATGAAATGCCATTAGAACAGAAAGCCCGGAAGGACAGGTCTAAAGAGAATAGAAGAGGGAAGACTCAGTTTTCCCCCCTGAAGTTGGCCATCTCACCTACTTTTGCCATTTAACTCTCTTAAAGACGTGAGAGTGAGATGTTGAATGCAGAGATCTGGAAATACAAAATTCTATGGTTTTCCTTCTGACTCTTACCCCACCCATTTAATATAAAGTTACAGTTTTTGCACCTGTTATTGATAAGTTTGGCTATCTTGATCAAGTCTTGTCCCCCAAATTTTGAATTTTGTTTCGCAAACTAATGAAGTAATTGCTTCACTATAATTCTAAAACACCCATGCAGCATTTTGGGAATGTGCTGGGGATCTTTTTTTTTTTTATTTCCCTTGGTCTGCTTTTTTTCTTCATTAGAGCCTTCTAATTTTTCAAGACCAATTGTCACACTGCGTTATTGTTGGTCCTCTGAATCCATTGAGATGCTGCTTCAATCACTTAAAAAACGTTGGCCACTCTGGTGTTTGGTTGGCTCAGAAAATCACCAAAGCACAAGACCGTTTTAAAAAATGTTTTAGTTTCTCAGTGAAATAAAAGCAGCTCTGTTATTTGAGACCTTTATGTTAGTCTGAGAAGCCTAAGTGCACACAGTGCAATGTTTGGCCCCAGCTGAAATATTATAGTTATTTGCTAGGCATTTTCTTGCAAAAGGAGAACAAACAGGTTGCTCTGAGAATTGTTAATCTATTTGCAATTGCTGGGCCAGGTGACAAGCGTGTGGGTATCTGGGGGCAGCCTTGTTGGGCTGCCTTCCCTGACTACAAAGCTATTGTGAGCTGGCAATGCCTTACAATGTATGAGAATGCTGTGCCCTAGGCCTGGAGGCCAAGGGCAAGATTCTTGTAAATTTCAATACCTTTCCCAACATCAGGCTGGCAGCAGGCAGGCCAACCTAGGGTCACTGACACTATTTGCAAGCCAGTAAAGCAAGACAAAGCTGAAAGCAAGGGTAAATTTAGATCTACCAACCTTGAAATCACAGCTAAAAGAGAGCTGCTTCACCAGTGAACAGTTTTTCCTGCCTGGTCAGCCACACAAAATGCATGGTATTTCTTGGGTTGCCCCAGTCGGTGCTACTTAATCATTACATCAGAAACTTCAAGGAAGGAAATCTAAGACCCAAATTTCCCCTTTCTGGAAGTTAGGATGTTTAAATCAATCTCTGTTGTTAAAGAGTAATTTATTTTAAAACTTTTATTTCATGGTGTTATTAATGCTTAGACCATGCCCCAAAATGAAGAGTAGTTTAATTTCAGGACCCTTAGGAAGAGAGTCATGTAAGCAATAACTAGTTTCCATACCCCCCTAAGCAATGATCAGAGTACTTACTGAATTAACTGGACTTTTTGTGGGGAGTTATATTGATGTTGGCAGGCTTTTCTTTTAAGAGAATTTTTTTAAATTTCTATTTTATTGAAGTTGGTTTGAGAGATAGATTTCTTCCCCCTCTCTTAAGGACACAATGGAATATATTCACTTTTCTTATGGCAATGTTCTTTGGACTAACTATATACTTATCCACTAGAATAATGCCTGGCACATAGTAGGTGTACAATAAATGGTTTGGAGTGCATTTGTTGAAATTAATAAACTCTCTTCTTCCTTCTGTATATAGAATTTGCATACATTTGAATAATAAAATAGAAATAAGCAATCATGAACTAAAAGTTTACAGAAAGATACAGAGACTATGCGTAAGTATCAGCAGGAGAATTTACTGTGAATGGGCCTTAAGTCCAGCCCTGAGCTTACTGGCAGCCACATCAGAAGAGAAACTTAGCGAGTTTTCTAGTTCTTATAATTAGAAAAGAGAAAGCACA